TGGGTGCCCTGCCTGCTCGGTTGCCGAAGCGATCCACGGCGGAGCGGAACAGCGCCGAGCTTCGACGCGGTTGTCAGCAGCAACGCCCACGCGCTGCCAAATTGGCGCACTCCACCCAGCGCAGAAATCCACGAGGACGAGTTCTGCCGGAGCGAGAAGTGCCGCAAGGGCATCAGCGACCCGCACATGCTGAAGGTTATGGCAAAACTGGTACAGGGAGCTCAGAGGCAGTGCGCGGGTTACTACTGCGCCTTCGGGTACACCTTCAAGAGCCAGCCAGTGGGCGCCAACTATCTTCGCCTGACGAGCAAAAGCTTAAACTACCTCCAGCACACCATGGAGAAGAAGACGCCTGCGCAGCAGTGGCATCGCGTCCCGCACCGCGCTCTGCTGGATCTGGAGTATCGATGCTTGCAACGCACCGCGGCTGAGGAGTGGAACCTCGCCGCGAACGTCCACGATCGCGATGTGAAGGCGGCGGAGTTCGTCCGCGCGTTCCGATCAGTTTATGTCAACGGTCGCGCACTGCTGGTCAAGCCTCTTGGGCCGTCTTGAGCCGTCGGAATGCCGAGAAGAAGCAAATTCTAAAATCCTTCAAAAGCGAAGTAAAAAAAAACCAATGATTTTGGTCTCTTCGGGCCCTCCTGGAGGACCTCTTGGAGGCCTCTTGGGCCGTCTGGGAGGCCTCTGGGGGGCCTCTTGGGCCGTCTTGGGCCGTCTTGGACTCTCTTGGGCCGTCTTGGACCATCCTGGGCGGACTTGGAGGCCATCTTGGGCCACCTTCGCGATTTGTTGAGGATGTCCCGAGCGAAACGGCCGTTTCAGGGAGGATGTTTTCCGGAGTTTGTGCTCCTGGGCAGGCCTCCCGAGACCCCGGCGGGACGGGCCGAAACCCACTGGGAGAATTCTTTTGGAAGAACCAAAACCAAAACCGAGATCGTCCAGCGCGCCAGGCACCCCCGCGATGAATCGACAGGGGGCGGCGGATCTAATGGCGTTCGGCCCATCCCGCGACCGTGCCTGGGTTTGGGAGCCCTCTTGGGCCCGAAACAGTCACGCGAGAAGATGCGCAAAACCCAAGAAGATTTGAGAATTTGGGCCCCCGGCCCCTAAGAGACCCCTCAGGAGCGAGGACTGAGGCTTAGACGGTTGGGTGAAGGACCTGAGGACACGACCACTCCGTGCCCAGAGGCACGGTGGCGGATATTCCCCATGCGCCAGGAGTGCGGATATTCCCCTGTTCGTTGGGATCTCGTGAGGGGCTTCTCGGGGGCCTCCTTGGAAACAGTTTGCAGACCTCTCGGTGGCCGCTTTGGGGCCTCTTGGGGCCTCCCTCGGGCCTCTCGGAGGCCTCCCGGGGGCCTCCTGGGGGCCTCTTGGGGGCCTCTCGAGGCCTTCGGGCCTCCCCCGGGCCGCCCCCCCCCCGGGCGGGGAAGGGGCAAAGCCCCGGGGGCACGCGACAAGCACCAAGTCATTTTGGAGTGCGGATGAGGTCGGGCCTGTTCCCCTACAGGAAGAGTATTCACACATAGCCCAAACGCACTCTGGGGACGATGCAAGAAATGTGGACTCTGGCACCCAGTTCGCACGAGGGACATCGATCCAGCAGACTTTGGGTGCTCTCCAGCACCCGGTTTTTCTAAGGGAGAACGTTCCGGCAGCCTACCGAGAGTACCATGCCACCAAATTCTTAGGAGGGACAACGTTCCGGCAGCCCACGGCGTCCGCTCTATCACTTCGCTGTTACAGAGCGCGATCACTTGAGCAGTCTACGGCGTGCGATCCAGCACTGCAATGGATGCCGCGCGCGGACGTTCGGACCTCGGCCTGAAGCGACGCAGACGAACCCACTGATGCCTCCGTGGAGAAACCCACTGGTGCCTCCAGTGTTTTTGCCATGGTGTGTGCTTGTTCCAAAGTGTGTGTGTGTGTGTGTGTGTTTGTGCTAGTGTTTGTGTGTGTGTGTGTGTGTGTGAGTGTGTGTGTGTGTGTGTGTGTGTGTGTGTGTGTGTGCGTGTGTGTGTGCAGAGTACGAGTGCTGTGTCGTGCCGTGCGAAGCGTGAGCGTGCGTGGTATGAGCTTGACTTTTGTAGTGTGTGTGTGTGTGTGTGTGTGTGTGTGTGTGTGTGTGTGCGTGCGTGCGTGCGTGCGTGCGTGCGTGCGTGCGGGCGGGCGTGCGTGTGTGTGTGTGTGTGTGTGTGTGTTTTGTTGTATATATAAAAATAACAATACGTATGTGTGTGTGTTAGTGTGTGTGTGTGTGTGTGTGTGTGTGTGTGTTTGTGCTTGTGTGTGTGTGTGTGTGTGTGTGTTTGTGTGTGTGTATTTGCGTGTGTCCTTGTGTATTTTAATGGGTTCTTTTCCTCAAGCAACTCCCTCTTCCTCGTGCAGCTGGGAGGCTGAAAACTCGGAATCGGCGCTGGCAGATTCTTGGTTGAAACGCCTCCTGATCCGACATAATCTGGCTCGATCTTGCTTACACCCTGCTCAGTCCCGCCGTATCCGGCCCGACCCGGCCCGATCCAGCTCAGGCTTGGTCTCGATCTGGCCTTCTCTGTCGCAGCGGCTCCTGAATCTGGCTTAATCGTCCTTCCTCGTTCCGACGAGAGCCTCCCGGGAATCCTCCTCCTCCTCCTCCTCCTCCTCCTCCTCCTCCCTCCTCACTCCCTCCTTACATCCTCCTCCTCCTCCTCCCGCCTCCTCCCTACTCCCCTACTCTCCTCCTCCTCCTCCTCTCCTCTCCTGCTCCTCCTCTCCTCCCTCTCAGTCCTCCCTCCTTACCCCTCCTCTCTCCTTCCTCCTCCCTCACATCCTCCTCCTCCTCCTCCTCCTGCCTCCTCGCGTCTGTCCCCGAGGATGGCAGCAAAGCCCTGCCGGAGGCGTCCAAGGAGGGCCGCGGCTGCAGGCCGGGCCCGCGCGCCGCGCTCTGCGGGGCGGGGGCGCTGTGCCTGGCCGCGGCGGCCGGCGCCGCCGCGGTCGCGGCGGCGGCGGCGGGCCGCCCGCCGCATGCGGTGCCCGTGGCGGCGCAGAGCGTGCCGAACCCAGAGCTGATAATGCTCGATGAGGCTTGTGATTAAGTTTAGGTCGGGCCTGTCCCCCTACAGGGGGATATTCGACGAAAAATAAAAAATACCCCAAAAATGCCCCCAAAAGGTCAAACAATATTCAAAAACAAGTCCCCAGACTATTTTTGGATTATGTTTGGATTATTTTTGGGGTATTTTGCATTTTTCGCACAAAATCCCCCTGCAGGGGGACACGCCCGACTTAAGATTAAGTCGGGCCCGTCCCTCAACAGGAGGAATATGCAAAAGGAGTCAAAATATAGTCCGGGGACTATTTCTTTGAGTATTTTTATTAACACCATTTTGGGGTATTTTCGGAGTATGTTTTATTTTTCGTCAAAGATCCCTCTGTAGGGGGGGGGGACAGGCCCGACTTAAGCTTATGATGTCCCAACCTACTTTGGCCTGAATCACCCGAGAGAATTTCGGGCACCAAGGAAGCACCGAAGAACGTGAGGGTTTTCGCGCGTCGGGCCCTGGGGGGCGATACCCGTTCGACACTGCTGCGACACTTTTTTGGGTGCTCGAAATAATTTCTGGAATGTGGTCCGTAAGAACGATGGGAGCGACATACAGTGGGGGCGCGCATCAAGAAGCCATATGCTTTTCGTCAGGGTATCCTGGGTTTCTTCGCTCCGCGCGCTGCGCGGCGACTTCACGCGGCCGTTGAAGGACCTGCTGCGTTCAGAGTGCACCAGGTTTCCCCTCTGGTGCACTTCGCGCGCGGGTTTTCAGGGTTGGGTTTCTTGCGGGGGTTTCTTGCGGCCGCGCTCGCACTGTAAGATGAGGCCTTGTATCCGCACGCGAAGTGCATGGATGGCTCGCAGTACGGCTACTTCTGGCAGAAGGCCTCCGCGGAGGCCGACGCAGCGAACTGGGTGCTCTTCATGCAGGGCGGAGGCCAGTGCATCACGCAGGAGATGTGCAACCGCACATGCTCGAGCAAAGTAGGGAAGGAGTTTCTGTGCAGTATGAAGTACTTTGGGGCGACAGCCCAACTAGTCACAAACGCCACCTGGGAGGAGAAAATCGTTCCTATGTCAAGTGCCTTTCTTTCGGCACACGCCTCGTTGAACCCGATCATGGCCACTTGGAATCACGTCTACCTGAACTTCTGCTCTCAGGACTGGTGGACTGGCACACGTTCGGAGGCTACTAATGAGACTTTTGGCTATTACTTTTCTGGGCACCTCATCATGGAGGCTGTGATCTCCGACATGAAGCAGCGCGCGCAGCTCGCCAGCGCGGGCTCTGTCGTCCTCACTGGCAAGAGCAGTGGTGGGGTGGGGGTGAACTTGCACGCCGATTGGCTGAAGGAGCAGTTGCCAAATGTGAAGGTGTTGGCCGCCCCCATCGCAGGATTCTACGGCATCCAATATGTATGGCCAGACCCTGCTAAGCCTTTGTCGTTAGCTCTCATGAACGTCGAGACTGTACCCTCCTACGTCAAGCTATGGAGCTCCTTTTTACCGCCAGCGTGCGTCGCGTCTTTGAAGGAACGAGACGTGGAACAATCTCTCTGCTTATTGTCGAGCTTTGTGTCGCAGACGCATACGGTCCCCAAATTTGTTATTCAAGCGCAGACCGATACCGCTCAGCTACTGCTCAGGGGATTCCCACCCCCTCAGGCGACCATGGTCAATTTCGCCACGGACATTTCTAGCGTATTAAAGGCTCAACACACCACCATGATGCCCAACCAGACCATGGTCAACGAGATTTACGCAAGCATTAGGGCAGAGTACAATGCCAACGTCACAATGTGGTCCTTCTTGAACGCGTGGAAGATGAACCAGACGGTCAACCTCGGCCCCGCGCTGAAAGCAGGGGATGGCTTGTTCAGCCCAGCCTGCTTCATCCACACCTCGTTCTTTCCGGCCACTCCTCTGATCAATGAGTTTTCTTACGTTACCGCCTTTAACAAGTGGTACGCAGACGGCACGGAGGTTCGACTCACGGATGATTGTGGTCTGTTGTGCGGGACGTGTTCTTTGTCTGCATTGGGTCTTTCTGTGTGAAGTGTCATGTAGGTTTACGCCACGCCCATATCTTTCAAACTATGGGCGTGCTCGATGTTTTCAGCTGAGAAGATATTACGGTATCAATTTCATGAGGCTTTAAGCGGTATTACTTCTCGGAACGTTTGTTCCGGTGATGTAATGAGCGCGCGTGGCTCGATAAAAAGGAATACACATTTTTATCATCCACTGCGGAGCAAGAAACAAGTAGAAAAGGGGTGACGCAGCCACTTACAGAACGCGTGATGTAATGAGCGCGCGTGGCTCGAAGGATGGGCAGTTTCTTTCCCCAACCATCCTTTGGTGTTGGGTCCTCGTTGTGAAGAGACGGTCCCCGCGTTCCTCTCCTCTCCTCCTCTTGCCCTCCTCGCTCCTCAGGAGCTGTTAGGGCCCAAAACCCGAGCGAGCTCCCACAGCGCCGCATGCCATCACGACCAATGATGTGCGAGGCGTAGAGGGCGGCACGCGAGGGCCAGGGCCGACTTGGGACAGTTCCTGCAAGTCACGATCTACTCCACCCTCCCCTATTACATATCACCGCAATGAAGCTGATTTACCATAACGTTCAATGGGCAGATTTTACGAGACTGGAGGAGATATCTACACATACAAAATGCACCGACTTTGTGATATGCATAGGCACTGGACGTTGGGCGGAGAGCGCAGACATGACGGCCACCCAATGCCAACTGCCTAACCACAAGTGCGTACAGATGGGCTGGCGCAAGTCGCGCGTGACTAACAACTCCTGCGGGATTGCGGTCATGTACGGCAAGCGCGTTCAAGGATCGCTACAGCAGGTTGCAGTACCACCGGCAAAGCTGGGAATCACAGGCCGCGTGGGCATGGTGAGATTTTCGATGCAGGGAATGTCGATCGCCATTTTCCCGATCTACGTGCCGCCGAAGGGGATGGCAGCAAATACGCTGCGCCAGGTGACAAAAAGGATTCTTCGTTGGATATCGGACGAGATTGACAAACTGGGACATGCGTGTGTACCGATCGTGGCAGGAGATTGGAATTGCGGGTTCGGGTACCAAGTGGACCAGACGGGCAAGCGATTTGTGCAACATGACAGTGAGGAAATTGGCACGGCCGAACTGACCCACGAATCGCAAGTATCTCGTCTGGCTCGGGACTTTCTGGAGGAAAATCACCTCAGCATGTTCGACACGTACTGGAAGACGGGACCTACCTACTTCAAAGGACCTCATAGTAGTAAGATAGACCATGTAGCGGGACCAGCAGCCATGAGAGGACGTATACAAAGATTGAATACACTGCTGGGGCTAGGAAGGCGATTGCAACGATATATAAGCACCCACCTCCACGACCATGTTCCAGTGCTGATGGAGTTTGACATCAAGCCGCAAGAGGTCTTCCATGGCAAGTACACCCCCGCCGTCAACAGAGACACTATGATGGCCGCATATACTAGCGGCAGGGGACGTATTGAATATCTTAGAGCTCTGGAACAGGAGGCGACCGACATTCCAGAAGAGCAATGGCGTGAGATATGGGATCGAGGCGACGTACAGGCAGCGTGGAACAAGCTATCGGAAAGCATACGCAAGGCAATGCAGCAGGTCTTCCCAGCCAAGAAGCAGGACATAGTGGACTACGATGGTCACAGAAAGAGACGAATGGAACTACTGCAGTTGCGCGGGCGACTACGGGACCAGTTGCATGCCACGGGGCTGAAGAGTTTCACGGGGAACGGAAGCACAGCATTCGATGAGATAGAGGACGAGTTACGCCGACTATCGCGCCGAATGCAGACTCTTCGTAAGGAACAGAAGAAAGAGAAGACGGAGACACTAGCTGCAGAGATTTTTCAGGCGTGGAAGCAGGGACGACATGCAGAAGTACATCGACTGCGGGTCCAACTTGCGGGACGAGGTCGAGGACCAAAAAAGAGGCTGCTGTTTGCACCACGACAGAGTATGACGCTGAGTGAATGGAAAGATGGTCTTGGAAGCAAACCTCAAGATGGAGGAATGGACTGCAGACAGATTGATTGGGAGGAATGGACCGCAGACAAATCCTTCATGCCCCACCTGTACGGCACGCCAGAACTGGCCGAACATGTGCGTCAGGACAGAGCTGGCCAAATCACATACTTGCGACGTGCGCCCAAGCGGCGGGCGGGCCCCGCATGGGGCGTACTGGCCGAGGCGCTGTGCATGGGCATCGACGCGAGGCGCTACACCAACGAGCATGACAGGAAGTACGTGCCAGTCAACTTTTCTCGTCGTTATAATGATCTACTGGCACTCATTCGGCTCACGGGAGCCTTCCCTCTCACTGCCATTAGATCACAGGCTTACGCTGCGCCCAAGAACAATTCCAAGCAGGGGATAAAAGGTCAGCGAATCCTGCATTGCTTTGACTCGTTTGGAATGCCATACTTCGGACACCTTCAGAGGACATCTCGAAGACCGAGGGCGCCAGATTTCGCACACGGGGGGATACGAGGTCGTCGGAGAGAGGGCGCCATCTTGAGTTTATCTGCTGCATGCTGGAGATGCCGCACAGCACGAATAAGCCACAGCATGTCTAACTACGATGGCACGAACGCGTTCGCATGCACGGCACGCGACAAACTGCAAGCACATCACCACCGATGCAGCAGAGCAGAAAACACGCACCTCATGATCCAGGCGATAGACCATGCGAGCATACACATCAATGCAATAAACGGCGAAGCCGACTTCTGGCCGCAGACTGGCACAACAATGGGGCACTCTCTTGCAGCAGGAGACTTTATTGATATTTACTCACCCTCTGTGAGCGAGTGGAACTCGTATCTGGAGGAGGCAGATTACTCCTACTCCCTGCTGCGTGGCCAGTGTCCGATCAGCAAGGCCACCGTGGACATAGGCATCGGACTTTTTGTAGATGACGTTTCCAGAGTACATGTACATGCATACGCACCGAACGCGAAGTACATCACACAGCAGCTGAACCACGCGACGCACACACTGCAGCAGCACATCAACATGAACGGGCACCACCTGAACATGGATAAGACGAACCACATGATCGCACTTGCAGGCGCAGGCTCTTTTGAGGCGGCCAGGGAACTCGGGAGACAGAAAAAGGTACAGGGCGAAATTCTTCGGGAAGTCAGGGTCCTTGGACCGATCATCAGCTTCGACGGGGTCCTCAGGACTGAACTCAAGAACCGCATCAGAGGAGCGCGTGCAGCATGGCGTTCACTAGGACAAGTATGGCACGAGCACCTCCCGTACAAGTTGCACCGCATGTTTTTCTTGTGTTTTGTTTACAGCGCAGCGATCACAGGTCTCACAGCCTTCGTATTGCCGAAGGAGTTTACGGACGAGATTGATTCGACACTCGCCAAGCTCCTCAGATGTCTCATGAAAGGCAGTGCGGCTACAGAATACGACAATGGACGAATACGGACGATATCCAACAGCGAAGTTTTTGATCATTGGAAGCTTAGCCGCACTGCCACAGAGTTGAGAATTCAGAGAATACGGTGGTGGCAGCAAATTTCGAAGGAGCCCGACAACCATCGTCAGGTGCTCACGGCCATGTTCGGGACAACAGAGCTCGACATGCAGCTGGGCAGGCGCAGGCTCAACCAAGTTGGCACGCTGACAAAATATAGTACTCCTTGGGCAGTGCAGTGTCTAGAGGATCTGAAGTTCGTAGCGCAGTTTGCACGAGACTTTGACGAAGCCTGGACTGATAAGGAAAACGTCCTCTTGCCGTTCCAGGACTCCACCCTCAGTAAGATCTTTGTGAAGATAAGCATAGGCTCCCTGAGGCCCCTTATGAGCACGAAGAACATTACAAGATGGAACAGGGTACTACAAAATCTAGGACTTCGGGAGATCTCGGAGGAGGATGCGATCAGGATGGGGATTCTGGAGGTCCAGAGTAACATCAGCAGCAACAGCAGCATCGCAGAGGAGTTCATATGCACGCACGAGAACGAAGACGGCACTCTATGCGCATGCACGTTCAACAGCATGAAGGCATTAACAGCACATGTGACGCACGCACACAAGATGAGGAACCTGTACGCGCTACTGGTCACAACAAACGTATGCCCGTGGTGTCGCACAGCTTTTGCGAGTCGAGCATCGTGCCTGCGACACGTTCGCACAATGTCTCAACGGACACCTCGTTCTTGCCCGACTCGCTCCACGTCATTCGCTTTTCGGTTCGATGAATTACCAGTGTACCACTGCGGCTTCTGCCGCCAAGAGGATACTGAATTACACAGTCATCTGGACCACGTGCAGCAGCACGCGCCAGGGCCTGACAAGACACAGCATCAGCCGAGCGACGAGCCGCAGGGCGACGAGCACGATGTGGCGATCGTACGGAGCGAGAAGCGGAGGAAGACCACGATCGGAGACGATGGACCTCGACGCCAGCGCAGCACAGTCACCCAACAAGTACGGAGGTGGCAAGGGGAAGACAGGCAATGGCAAGTCAAATGGATCCGCCAGCGAGGTGAACAAGGACGACGAGATGGTGACGATCGAGAAGCTGTGCCTCAACAACGCACAAATCGTGCGACAACTCTCGGGCAGCTTGTGGGACTTCTACCTGGTCGAGGGAGAGCACACGCCGTCGGAGGCAGGAGCCAACGAGGGCCAAGAGTACGCGAACAAGGTCCAGAACGGAGCGAAGAACCTGGGCTCGCCGCACGTGTACATCGGAGCGACGTTCTTCGAGGAGCTGGCCAGCCTGACTACTACGCCGTCACCGTACAAAGAGACCCTCGAGCAGTTCGCCATGCTGATCAACGTCATCCACATGGACTTCTTCGGGGACATTCTGCCGTACTTCAAGGTCAAGAAGGCATACAGCGAGGCAGGGATGAGCACGAGATGGAAGATACACATTCTGTTCAACGCGCTGGCGATGAGCCCGTGGACAGAGGAGAACGAAACCAAGATCAACCAGAAGCGCGAGGCACAGGGACAGATGCCGATCAAGCTGGAGCATGCCCAGACCTACCACCTCCGCCAAGCGACCCACGTGGCCATCACGAACAGCGGGGGCAATGCCATCGTGGGGGCGCCGCCGCCAAGCGCCCTGGAGCGTCGCCTACAGAACTACCTGCGCGAGAGGCTCGCGCACATGTGAAGCAGGCAGTAGGTCGCTCAGCAGCCAGCAAACAAGCAGCAACCAACGAGGCAATCAAACAGCAAGTAAAAATTCACGAGCTGAGGCAACTAGCAGCCAAAGGCAGCGTGAGGGCAGCAGAGTTGCTTTTGAGACTCGGCAAGCGCAAATGAACGGTCTGTGGGGGGAGTGGTGGGCAGTGTGTGGAGGGTTCAGCGCAGCCGTGATCTCGTTCAGTAGCTCGAACAGTAGCGAACAGTCTCACGCGTATATAGGCCTAGGGGCCTTGCGGACTTTATTTGAGAAGTGCAGAATACATAGGCTCACGCCAAATAGTGCCTGCAGCCCTCCTGGAGCCCTTGCGAAGTGTCCTCCTTTCCTTTGTAGGGACTCCTCATATCGGGACAGTGCTGCCCAGCAGCCAGCCTCGGACGTCCTCCGAGGTTGCAGCAGCACTGTGCAGAGATGATTGTGCCCAGCCGAATGGGCAGCGGTCGGCTTTGGGGCGGGGGGACGGGGGAGGCAGCGGGGGGGTGGGAGTGGTTCCTTCATAATGCAGCGACGAGTAGAAACGATCGGCTCTGATCCAAGCAAATACCGTTTCTTCCGACCCAAGTGCGGTGGGGATGGGCCGTAGTGCCATAAACCACCGCCCTGGACTGAGTGTTTGAGTATGGACACAGGGGGTTCGGCCCTGAGCCGAAGTGGGCCCAAGGCCTCGTCGGTCATGCGGGTCCCACAGGCTCCCTCGTGTGTCCGCCTTTAAACCTGCCAGCAGTAACCGACTCGTCCAAGGCGAGTTACACGCGAACCGAGTTTTCCAACCCGAACCGCACCGCTGCCGAGGCGTCCGCTCCGCTCCGCTCCTCGCTCCTCCCATCATCATCATCGCTTTGATTTTCCCAACCATCCTGTGGTGTTGGGTCCTCGTTTTGAAGAGACAGCGCCCCGCGTCTCTCCTCTCTTCCCCTTCCTCCCTCCTCCCGTCATCATCGTCATCATCATCATCGTCATCATCATCATCATCATCATCATCGTCATCATCATCTTCATCTTCATCTTCATCTTCATCTTCATCTTCATCATTATCATCATCATCATCATCATCATCATCATCATCATGATCATCACCCGTTTCGGAAAGCCCCAATGGGACCGCCCGCATGCGTCACGCACCACCCAGTACAGCGTTTCGTGGCCCCACAGGGAACTCCACAGAGACCTGCAGGACAGGCTGCAGAGGACTGGGCTGTCCTGGAGCAAGTGCAAGGCGCCAGCAGAGATCATCAAGGGGCGCTGGTATTCAACATTGCCACACCGGGAGCGCATGGTCCTGGGGTATGAGTGCGCGTTTCACCCAACCGCGATGGCGGTCGACCTGAACCAGAACGCAAACTGGGCCTCGAAAGGCTTCAACGGCACGTTGCCTTGCCTGCTCCCTCGCCACGAGCTTTTTTTGGCGAGGCCTCCGCCTCGTCACGAGCCAGGCTCGTTCTTGGCAAGGAATCGATGATGCCGCACGGTTTTCCGAGTAGTCTCTTTCGCAGCATTCTTCTCACAAAAATTGGGCTTATCAGATTCATTCCTCAAGGATTTAGCTGGTAACAGTTTCCAAGGTTTTGTTTTCGATGAAGCATGCGCGCGCCTTCCGTCGAAGAGCATGCGCGCGCCATCGCCTAAGTTGAATGCGTCCAGTGATGATGATGCGGTGCGCCGTATCGTTGGAGATCTTCTCGAGGAGCCTGGCTTTTCGGGAGCAAGCTCTGCTGCTTAGATTTGTTTTGATGATGTGTGGCCCTCTCGTTGCATGCGTGTGATGCGCTGTTACTCGCTTGTCCGTTTTCGAAAAGCTGAGACGTTCAGCGATGCATATCGTATATCATCGATACTTCTTGCGTGCGCGGTCGATGTGCGCGCGCCGGAGAAGAGCCCAAAGTGGGGGTCCTCAGGAGGCCTCAGGAGGACCCCAGCAGGGCCCCACGATTGGGTCACCTGGTGGACGCTCTGTGGGCCTCTTGGGAGCCTCGCGAGGGTCTCGAAAAGGGTGCGGGAGGGCCCGAGGCATTGCGTTGCTTGCGCGAGCTTCGCTCGAACAAACGTTTGCCCCAGGGAGGTTTTGAGAGGTCACAGAGAGGCCCCGAGGGGCATGCAAGAGGCCCCCAAACGACGCCCAATGGATCCACGAACAGATAACTCGTAAGGTTCGCTCCTCCGTTATGTTCTCTTGGCGCCTCTCTGAAGCTCGTTTCTTCGCTGCTCTCTTGGAGGCCATTTCGGGGACTCCGGGACCCCCCAGGGCCTCCTCTCGGAAAAGAGTTCAAATATGGCCCTGGGAGTAGCCTTATTTCGGGCCTGTCCCCTATACAGGGAGTTTTTTCGACGAAAAATAAAATACCCCAAACATAATCCCAACTTGTCAAAACATATTCAACATCCCCCTGTAGGGGGACAGGCCCGACTTAAGAGTAGCCCCCAGATGGCCCGAGAGGTAACGCATAAAACAACGAACTGCACCCGCTTGGCGCCTCGCACCACATGCTTTTTCTTTTGTGAGCGGTCTCTTGCAGGCTAAAACAGCATATCCCATAAACATCCTTTACTAGTCTTTTATTCATATGTTACCTTGCGGTCGCACAGTTCCTGTTCCTCGTCAGTCGTCCTTCGCTCCTTTTCATCCACGTCCACCTCCCCACGCGTGCCGGCGTCCGCACACGCCGACGGCCACGCCTAGTCCAACAAGTTCCAGTGGACTCCCGTGCACCGCCCATTGCGAGAGAGAGGTGAAGGAGAGACAGATAGAGAGAGAGAGAGAGACTAATAAACACACACAAATATTTATTTATATAGATAGACAAGAGAGAGAGAGAGAGAGTGAGAGAGATCGAGAGAGAGAGAGAGAGAAAAAAGAGAGAAGAGGAGAGAGAGAGAGGAGAAAGAGAGAGAGAGATAGAGATGAGAGATGAGAGAGTCGAGAGAGATATGCCCGGACGGGCGGGGAGAGAGGAGAGAGAGAGAGAAAGAAAGGAAGAAAAAGAGACAATACATAGAAAGAGAAAAGACACAAAGAGGAGAGAGAGAGAGAGAAGAGAGGAGAGAGAGAAGTGAGAAAGAGAAAAAAAAAGAGAGCGAGAGAGAGAGAGAGGAGAGACGAAGGAGAGAAGAGAGAGAGAAGGAGATGGGAGGAGGGAAGAGGAGAGAGGGGGGCAGAAGGGAGGAAAACTCAGGGGAGGAGGAGGAGGCGCGGAGGAAGGAGGCGGAGGAGGAGGAGGAGGAGGATAGGGAGGAGGAGGAGGAGGGAGGAGGCTGGAGGGGGAGGCGGAGGCGAGGAGGCGGAGGCGAGGGGAGGCGGAGGAGGAGGAGGAGGAAGGAGGAGGAGGAGGGCGGAGGAGGCGGAGGAAAGGAGGAGGAGGGAGGAGGAGGAGGAGGAAGGAGGAGGAGGAGGAGGAGAGAGGAGAGGAAGAGAGGAGGAGGAGGAGGAGGAGGAGGAGGAGGGAGGAGTGAGGAGGAGGCGTAGGAGGAGGAGGAGGAGGAGGAGTAGGAGGATTTTGTTTTGCACCGAGCGCTCCAATGAGCTCAGAGAGGGGGGGGAGGCGGAGGAGGAGGCAGGTGAGCTACCCCTCCATGCCCCTCGCGCGCCCTCCTGCTGAAGGCCTTGGCGCGAGCGGAGGCACCTGGGCGGAGGCCTCGGCGGGGCTTGCGCAAATTAGGAGGAGGAGGAAGGTGAGCTACCCCTCCATGCCCCTCGCGCGCCCTCCTGTTGAAGGCCTTGGCGCGAGCGGAGGCACCTGGGAGGAGGCCTCGGCGGAGCTTGCGCAAGTTACTGGCACGTGTGTGAGCTGTGCACCTCTTGGTTAGGGATGCGAATGGGGCCAATGGAGGAGGCAGAGGGGGTAGCGCGAGGGTCGATCGGGGTGCAAGTGGTCGCGAGCCACTCGATAGCTCCGCTCCGAGCCGGCTTCTGGCGACACGCTGCACACGAAATCCGAGACCCCTCGAAAACGAGACCAGGACGATGGGCGGAAGAAGCGACCGCTTTCTCGAGGCGAGTCAAGCCCGCTTTCCGAACTCCTTCGAGCGGCCTGGCCCGCTCTCTTTGCCCCCTGGAATCGTGACTGGCAGACGCGATCAAGGTGGCTGCGAGACGAGCCCGGACCTGCTCGGCGACGGCGTCCACTCCAAGGTCGCTGCCGGCGGTCTCCGGAGAAACCTGATTCTGAGCAGCCTCCCACCCGGCTACTCTGTCGGCCTCCTGGTTGGCCGATCTGAATAGCTCGGGGAGGCCGCTCGTGCGGAATCTTTCCGCATCCACGTGGCTCTCAACTTTAATTAAGGCGATCCTGCGAAGGGGGCAGGAGCGGAGGTCGAGCGAGAGGGCGTGCCAGAGGTCCTGGTTAGATCCAGGCTTGGACCCGGCCTGGAGCCGAAGCCATCCACGCGCAACGTAACCGCTATCTGTCAGGAATGTCAGATCTTCGCGCACGTGCAGTAAACAGTCCAAAAATGCTTTCAACTCTGCTCGGTTGCTGGTCTGTCTGCGACCAGCGAGGGCAGCACTACGACGGCGGTACACTTGGACATGGGGCAAAGCGGGGTTAACCTCGACCCACGCCCAGGCACATCGACGCAACCTTGGGTCCTTAGCATGCTCACCACCCGACCCGTCCCCCGCACAAAGACGTCCCAGCACCTCAGGCGGGGCTCCCTCCTCGCCGTGGCGCGTGTCGCGCTCGGGGGATGGGCCCTCGCCTTCATTCGCTGGATACTCGACGTCGTGCGTATCGACAGCGTCAGGAGGGGCAGGGATAGGGACAAGGGAAGCAGGGATGAGGCCACGAAGCCCAAAACACACGTTGGTATCTGAATCGAGGGCGGTCTTCGCCGCCTCAACAAGATCAGCTGAATCAGTACACTCGGGAAGAGAGTCATTGCACTGGCACTCCCACACACGATGCCTGAGCGTCTCAGGGGCGAGACCACATCTGGGGCAAGTGGGGTCGAATTCGCCAATGGCACACTCTGCAACTCTCTGTCTGGGCCACATACCGGCCGCGGCTGCACACTCGATGGCCGCCTGCCGTTCGTACTCTTGTGCCTTGCCTAGCCTCGACAGCTGCAGGCGGAGGCTGAAGAGATCCACGCCTTCCTGCAGCCCACTCTCCAGGTGCTGTGCGGACGCGCCTGCCCAAAGCTTCCGCTCCACGGAGGCGTGCACGGTGGCCAGCAGGTCGGAGGGGTCGAAGGCGGCCAGGCAAGCAGCAAGGGACGAGGGGTCTTGAGTGGGGGCCTCCCAGCGCTCTTCGAATGGATCCAGCCACTCGAGGAGCCCGAGAGTGTCCCACCCAAGAGAAAGGAGAGAGGTGATAATGGCAGAAATCGGCCCCTTAATATTGGACCAGCGACGTTTGAGAGGAATGGAAATAATGCGAGCGTAAACGCGCTCCCAAGACTTCTGCAGACGACCGATGGGCGTGTCGTCTTTCTTGAGAAAGCGAAACCACTCAACTAACAAGTCAAGCACGGCCACGATGGCTGGGTCGCGAGACCCAAATCTGAGAGCCAGGACCGTGGTTAAACACCTGCCCTGCTTCTGTTCCCACACTGCACGCGCCGCCGCCTGCCGTAGTTTTTTCAATCGGCTGGGAGACGCTCCAAAAACTTTAGATTCGTACATCGCCTGGGGCACGGCACCGGTTTTAAACAGTTTGAGTCTAATATGCTGTTTCAGGGATCTCAGCGTGGAGGTGCGGTTGCCCCTGCGGACCCCTTTACGCCAACGCTGGAGACCCCTAAACCTACGGATGTGGACGTGGGGCCCCCGATCGATGCCTAAATCAGGGGCGCTGTGCAAAACCTGAATGCTAATTCCTGACTGCTTGAGCTCGCTTGAAACTGTCTTGGCAATGGTGGCAGTTGAAGCGATGACACAGGATTTGCTAGACAGAGAGAGGTGCAGCTGATCAAACCCCTCTTTGAAAGCCACCACGAAAGATACAGTCTGATTGGTCACATTCTTGGCCGTGCCTTCAGCTCGCGAGTTCACATCATCAACCCAATTACGTGCCTCAAGCCCTGGTTGAAACCTGGAGTTGAGATCAAACATGAGGTCGAACAGCATACAGGCAGCGAGGTGCTGGGCGGAGCGACACCCGGCTAGCAACCCCCAAAGAGCCTCGATGGCGGGAGAAAAAAGACCGGAGGCTTTGGAGGTACCTGGGGGCCAGGTGTAACTGTATACTGAGGGCGAGCACGATACATGGTAATTATGCTTGGTAGCTAATTGCATGACTAGCACAGGGTCTAAACTGTCATAAAAAGTTTCAATATCGCACATCGCCGAGCAGGTAGAGACCTTGAAAGTAGCAGCGCTTTCGTCTAGCACCAAGCGCTTTGTTTAAGGCGGCTTGGACAGCGGAGCTGCCTTTCACAGCGTCGTCGAACCGAGCCCGACGTTGGCGTTCGAGGGACCACTGGTCAGTGACGTCTCCTCGGAGCTGCTCCCACAGACGTGCCACGAAAGCGAAACTTGCGATGCTGCGATCTGCTCCCGAGTCCTTCGGCAAGAGAGCAATCCATGCCCTGAGCATCTGCCAGGGCCAGGCGATGTTGCTTTCCATCGCCTGGTAAACGTCGAGCAATTCCTGGCGGGCAGCTGGCGGCAGCCTAGCTATGTCACGTGCACTAATATTGACACATCCTCTGGACTTACGCTCGGGCGTGCGCTGGAGGATAAGGTCGAGGCGAGCCAACTCAAGAGGAGGGAGGGGAGGGGCCTCCAGAGCGCACTTTCTTACCTCTTCAAATGCTGCATGGAGCTCGTGATCGTTGCTGCGACGAGACCAT